ACATCTTTCATTCGTGTAACCTGGCTCAGATTTTAGTGTTAACGACTACTTACGTAGCCGAGATAGATGGTTTACGTGTCCTCCTAAGCAACGTAATTAAATTAGAATTAAATTAGAATTAAATTAGAATTGTCCAGACTATGGACGAAAAAATTATCCCAAAACAAGTTGGTTTCAGACCTACCAAATTTTGATGCAGTCAGGTTTTTAACAGCAGTACATTGAGGATGAGTTAGATAAACTAATGGTCGCTTAATATATCTTCATGTCTTCATAAATTCCTCTGCAGGTTATGGCACGTTTAACCATCGTAAATTACTTCCAAGGTATACCCTATAAGGTATAACAAAAAAAGTGCAATGAAAGAAGTGAAAGAAACCAAACGCATAGTTTGTCTCAATGTAGTGTTTTATCTTATTTACTATATAATACCAATGACTTGTTCAATGGGTCATAAAAGTGACAACATATTATATTAAAGAAACAAATCTATCAGAGACCTTCGAATAGTTATCATGACAAAACACAGACATATTTTTCAGCTGCATACCAAAGAAACCAAGAGACATCTGAATGTACCGTGGCGGGGGTTAGAATACGAGCACTGTAAACTTTAGGCATCTGGGTATTAAATTAGGCAGGATACTCTTATTCAAACAATATTTTTATAAGCTGAAGTACAAAAAATGCCGACAGACGTAAGATGAGGCTAGCAGTTATTCAGTCACAAAGGAACATCAGCCTTGGCAGACGAGTTATTCCGCTTCAGAATGAAAGGCGTTGGAACACGCCAAGTATACTGACTTCCGCTTTTAATGAGACCATGAGCATTAATAATGACTGACACCGCTCCGTTCTCTATATATACTGTCTAGAACTACAACATGTAAAAAGAAGAGTGGTAGCTGAAACAGAGAGGTAGAAGTAAAGCAGAGCTGAGATACCCGATTTTTATTACTGCGCCTCACCTCACATTAAAACTAATTGGACTACTTATACTAGCAAAGGACTATACCACTAAATGGAACACCTCAGGAGAAACAAAATGAGCTGTGGAAAGTGTACCGGACAACATTCACCGTGAACCTAACAAGTAACTCACACCTTAATATGTGTTATCTTACATTAGAAAACTATAAAGGGACTAATGGTAGTGAGTGTGGACAGCATTTTGTGTTTCCTTACAAACATATTTTTCTTGAAACAACCAAGCTAAGAAAGTTTTGGTGTAATAAAACGATTTTATGATTGATGCGAGATGTGTAACAGACACGGAAAGTAAGTTGGTGAGTTGGTAGTTTCACATATATTTTATTAGTTATACATATTAGCAAATACCATCACTTGCTAACCACCGCATAAATCAAATGACTTACTTTCAATATCTACTGCAAATGCATGAAAATATTGGTACTAAGTACAAAACTGGTTTTTGCGAATCTAATGACTTACCACTGATTGAAATCTCCTGATTTATATGCATAATATAAGAAATGGATATATAATATGCATATAGGCAAATTTTATAATATAATTAAGAATTAATATAATTATTGATCTTTAATAATTATTACCATAGTTCGATAAATCTATGCATACAAAGCTTGTTTGCTTCTAATTTGTCTTAGTAGTCTATTTGTCACGTCAAACACTAAAACATTATTTGTTATAACGCCTTAATTGCTGTTGTTGACACGTTCTAAAATGACATAGTTATTGGAAATATACGTCAGTGACAGAAGCATGCATAGAACAATCCTTATACAATAATACAAGATTCCAACTCAGTTCAACCACAAACAGAATAGAAACCGATGAGACAAGTTAACAAAGAACTTTCTGTAGACAAATGATGCAGTTCACTATAACACGTATGATGAGAGTTTAACGATACGATACTAATAGCTTGCAGCAGTATCAAAATTGAAAGCGTAAGAATGACTAAATACCTACCGTATGTTTTAAATTCTAGCATATTCTACACTAAAAGGTAACATTTTAAGAGATGCGTCCTAATGTACAGTGTACAATGTAAGTTGGTAGCAGTATACCGTGTACTTCAACGTTTTGTCTTTTTACATTAAATACGATGGTTATATTTTATTTAAAATTTATGAAGAAAAAATAATTTTGAAATAATATAAATTAGTCCACCTCTGTCCCTTACAACCGTCGTCGATTTACCGCGCCAATTTTCTTCACATTATACTCGTCTAAACCATGCTTTCACCTCAGTGTTGACTTAATCCTACTTGTATTTATCACAGGTTTTTATAACAGTATTTTATATGGAAATGTTTTTTTAATTCGCTCGTTAAAATTTATTTTGCTCACTGCAGCCTACCTATTTTTATGAACGATATTACACGATATTACGTCTCTTTCTTTTGCTATGTCTCTATATTTATTTTAGAGCTGCCGTTTTGACAGTGTGCACCAAGTAGACTTCTTAAGATTTTTTGTTCGAAGATGGGCAGATGATCTGCATGTTTTAAAAATACTCCATATTTCCGCTTAATATATCATTTCTTGTAGGATTATTGTCTTTTATATTGATAGTTTGGTTCACTTGTAATATCCTTCTTTTAATTTCCCAGTTATGGGGTTATTATGGAGTTATCGCCACCCATAAGGGAACCTAGCTATCTGAATTTACGTACGATCTCAAAATTTTGATTCTGTCAATAATTTGCCGTTAATATTAGGCGCACTGAATTCATTACCCTGGTCAAAAAATATCTCTAAGCAGAATATATAAGATACGCCTATTTAACAGTGTTTTAAAATCGTTGTACTTAATGAACGTGAAGAAGATCGGCATGAATATTCAGAATGATCCACGCAACAAATGAAAAAATAAGACAAATTATGGACAGAACAACCACCATCATAGAAAACATACAGCAAGAACAGCTTCTTTCGACATGTAGAGAGAATGACAGACCATCGCCGACCCAAACAAATTTTGGATTAGCAACCACCTGAACTAAAACACGAGGAAGACCAAAAATAACATGACTTGATGAAGACCAAAAGTCGATGTCAGACATAGACCTACAACCAGAAGACTGTGCCGATATACCTAAATGGAGAAGGCACTGGAAGGCTCAGAACGCAATGAACCTGACATTATATATAAAACTTTCATTCTGTGCCATAAAGTTTTGACCAGTATATACTTGAATGTTCGGAATCAAGATTATTACTTTGTTTTTTCTTCGTTCGTTATTAGGACCATAATTTCTAATGCAGCTGCGAAGATTATCCGATAACTTTAAACTAAAAGCCGACGTTCATCAAGGATGTCAATTGATGGATTCGACCGTAACTTGATAGAAATTCATTTTATGTAACAATGAAACTGGTTTCAAACTTCCACAAAATTATTTTAACTTCTTATCACTACAGCTGTTTCGGCCGATTGCCTTTCTCAAATGATCTTGATAAATTTTGTGGAAGTTTGAAAACAACACACAGAAACAGAAACAAGGATCTACAGACCGAGAATTTGGCATCCAAATTCCACGGCTTCGCGCAATCGTACTATAGTCGGCTGGAGTTACAATTTGCCAAATTTAAATGTAATCGTTTCTACTCATTCATATTAATATTATAATGTATAATATATTAAAATTTTTAATATTGGTAATATTATTAAAACTTTTAATATCTACTATTTTTTAATATTAATATTAAATAATTAAATATTGCGCCTTGCTTAAAAAAAGTACGAGATAAATAACTCGTTTTTTACATGAAAGTGCAATTTTCTTGCAAATGCCTTGAGAGGGGAAATTTCCAATATAACACCAACCAAAAGACAAAAATATTAACTTAGGTACATGCAATCATTATCACTGCTTAGCGTATTTTCATGGAAATCAACCGCTGTGCTGACTAGTATTTTTTTTTTTTAAATTGTGATGAATAAATAAAGTATATATTAAATAAAGGGTATTTTAAATAAATTTGTAATATTTTATGCGAAAAGAAGAAAAGACTCAGTTCCGAGTCGTGAGCGTATTCGTTATATTTTCTTTAATTGTGTTAAGCTACTCGGATGTAAGTCGTTGTTATAATTATTCAAAAAAATGAATTTACAATATTTTTTATTAAATCAAATGAGAAATGTTATAGCAAATTAAGAACTAAAGAAAAAAAACCAATTTTCATTTCCTAAATAGCAAATTGTTTCTGAACACTTAAGATTAAAACTTCCAAATAAAATTTGGATAATATTGTAAAGGCTTTTATATACTGAAATTAAATTAAAAAAGAAGCTGAAAAAAGTGGAAAAATAATAAAAAATTCCCAAATTTAAATATATCTCGAAAACAAAATACGATCTGGAAAAAGAATACCGGAAATGTTTAATTTTTTTGAGTTCTTCGATTGTGTAGTACCTTCAATTTCAGTTTTTTTCAACAATACTCGAGTATTCCGATTAAGTACTCTCAGCCTTATAAAAATTTCCAAGAAATTAATATCGGATGAAGTTTCAACAAGCGAAATGAAAATCCTAATATTAAAACAGCATTATGACCAGGTACAATATCTGACTGTTATGCAAATTAGTAGGTAATTAGAATTAGAAAGTCAGTATGGGCAAAACCAGCTTATTCAAATTATAGGTACCTACCTTTAGTCTTGTATTGAAGGATTTTAATTTATTACCCTTAGCATACGTAAAGATATAAAAAACGAGTTATATTTATCTCGTACTTTTTTTAAGTAAGGCGCAATATTTAATTACTTAATATTATTATTAATATTAAAAAATAGTATTAAAAGCTTTAATAATATTACCAATATTAAAAACTTTAATATATTATACATTATAATATTAATATGAATGAGTAGAAACGATTACATTTAAATTTGGCAAATTGTAACTCCAGCCGACTATAGTACGATTGCGCGAAGCCGTGGAATTTGGATGCCAAATTCTCGGTCTGTAGATCCTTGTGAAACAGAACCTAGCACCCCAATAACTTCTTTAGTCGAACGAGAAGTTGAAAGTCCACAACTACAAACACCAGTTACCCATAAAACTGGCGTGAAACTCAAACAACCGGTAAACCCATCATCTCAGGAAAAACACGGATACAAGAAATCACAACCACAACAGACTGAAATAAAATTAACATCAAATCAAAAACTAACACATCAAGGAACACCAAAAACAGGTAATTCTAACAAAGACAATACGGATCTCAATATCGCCAATAGAACCAGAAAAAATTCGAAAAGTTCAATCGTTACATAAAGTATTAATTTCAGCTTAGTATTTTTGTACAGAAAAAATCAATAAATTGGGCTCAAATAAGATTTATATTTCTTTTTTTTTAAGTGTTCTCTATTTTTGTATTTGCATGTACTTTTATTGTATATGTTATATTATTTTTATCTAATCATTGTCTTTTAACTGTATATTGTTATATATTTAACTGGAACTAATAACATTCTCATTGGTACAATAGATTTGGGGTTTAGTTATCTTTTATTGTTATATTACATTCATTATAAATTATATATTCTTATTCGATATATTTTAACTTAATTAGAGTTTTGTCCATTTTTGTTTTTCTATTTTTTGTCTTTCTTTTAATTTAACTAAAAACTACTTTTTAACTAAACTATTTTATATACCTTTTGATGACATTTTTGTTAAAATATCTTTATTAGAAATACTGAGAGAGAACTTGTGCAATTAATTGTATAATGGATGCTTATATAAGGGACATCAATTACATACCATTCGCAACTAAGGAGATCGATGATCTAAAAAACCTTAAACAATATTTACATGATGATCGCCTACATTTTAAGATACTGCATCAAAACATCAGGAGCCTATCTAAGAACATTGATGAATTTGAGGTAATAGTAAGAGAACTAGACTGTGATTTTGACTGTATTGTACTCACAGAAGCATTTAAAAATGACGGCAACGAGTGTCATAAACTTGATGGGTATCATACAGTTTATAATCAAGGAAATATAAATAGAAATGATGGAACAGTTATATATATATATATATATATATATATATATATAAACAATGATCTAGATTATTGCACAGAAATTGTAAGCATAGGGGACCATAAAGTGATACAAACATGTATAATGTATAATAACGGAATAAGGATATTAATAACTTCGCTTTACCGTCCACCTTCAACAAATACTGAGTATTTCATATCAAAACTAAATGAATACCAAGAGGAAACAAAAACGGCTTCAATATATTGTCATATTTTGTTGGGTGATATTAATATAAACATATTGGAAAATAATGAAATAACTAATGCTTACTTAAATAATTTTTCACAACATAACTTTGTTTCTATTATTAATAAACCAACGAGTCAAAAGAACTGCTTAGATCACATTTTTGTTAAATTTAAATCTGAACAGACAATAAATACTTGCAAAGCAGCTACTTGCATTACAGATCATAAAGCAACTTTAATCAGCATACCTGTAAACAGTATAAAATATTTAAAACAGAAAACTAGAGAAATAATTAATTATAAGACCCTAAAAATGGATATCAAAAATTTTGATTTGACTGAGTATTATAATATAAAGAATACGAATGACATAACAGAATATCTAATAAAGACATTAAATGACTGTTTAATGATTAAACTTGAGAGATCGCTGGTTAAATTGTATTGGATAAATAATTTTTAACGAAAAAATGCAATATTAGATTGTATATAAGATTAGCGAAAATAGCGAATATTTGTAGCAAATATATGTAAAATAAAATGAATTCAAATAACAATTGGCAGATTTTATATCTTATTGTCAATTCTATATGAGATTCACTTACCTTTTTGTCTATGGTTGGCCCGGCTGGGGTTGGCGTGAGATACACTGCTGTGGTGATCTGCTTGGCGCTTGCTTCCGTACAGGACGAGAGGTTTTTGAAGAGTGGTCGATCATATGCAAAGGGGCACGTATCTATTACCCCAAATCGACTAGAGGGTACTGTTTTTAGAGACCTCCGTGAATAGCCGTAAATTAAACTTAAAGTGACATTCTTTACTTGCTACACAAAGGCGGATACGTTTTCTTAAGGAGCTGAAGTGTTTTGGGTTGATATATGTTTCCCAAAAACATGTTGAATTTCAGACAAGTGAATTCTCAGAACTTGACAATAATTAATCAGCCAATTTGAGTTCGAGAATTTAAAAATAAACTAAAGCCATATTGCAATTAGGTAATATATTATGATTAAATAAAATTTAAAACTAAATAAGGTCATACTCGTAATAATAAAAATAAAATATTTAAATTACTTGACACTTTTCCAAACATTCTCCGCCCCAAAACGAATGTTTTTTAAGAAACAACTACAATAATAAGAATAAAAACGAACACTAAATTATAATAATAATAGAAATGAAGAAAGATATAGTTGTTAACAAATAGGTAGTGGACAGATCTTGACCACCGGACGTTGTAGGATGCCATCTGAAGCTGTCCTCAGAGTAACAACCCGTGCAATACCGTCGGTGCCATAATGCAACTCAATGATTCTGGCCAACTGCCAGCGAAGAGGAGGCTGTTGTTCATTTTTTATGAGGACTAGCGAACCTTTAACGAGAGATGGGGTTGGACTATGCCATTTAGATCGCTTTTGAAGAGAATGAATATACTCTTTAGACCATCTTTTCCAAAAATCCCCCTTTATCCTTTGAATTAACTGCCAACGATTCAGACGGTTAATCTTTAAAGCGCTTAGATCTGGATCGGGAATTGAATCCACCAAGGGTTCAAAAATCAAAAAATGACCAGGAGTCAGTGCCTGCAAATCATTAGGGTCAGAGCTTGCTGCACACAAAGGACGAGAATTAAGAACTGCCTCGATTTGAGTCATAAGAGTATAGAACTCGTCATAAGTCAAAATTTGTGTACCCAAAACACGATACATATGGTTCTTGAATGATTTGACGCCAGCCTCGGCTAACCCATTAAAATGAGGGGCACCGGGCGGATTAAAATCCCAGGTAATAGAAAGAGTCTCAGCAGCAGATCGAGCTAGTTTTATGATTTCGTTGCTGGCTCCCTTAAAATTGGTACCTTGATCACTCCTAATAGTTAGGCACTTACCGCGTCGAGATACAAATCTACGAAAGGCAGCCAAAAAGGACTCAGAACTAAGATTTGAAGTTACTTCCAGATGAATGGCTTTTGTACTCGTACACACGAATACACAAACATATCCTTTGTATGTTTTTGCACCTCTATGTTTGGACATTAATAACGAGAATGGTCCTGCAAAATCCACACAAACAGACAGGAAAGCACGTAACGGAGTAACTCGGACAGTTGGCAAGTTTGCCATAAAGGGGTTGTAAGATTTAGGTCGGCATCTAAAACAACGAATGCACTTCGACAAACAGCGATGAATGGCACTTTTCGGAGACAGAATCCAAAAGCGCTGAAGTAATAAATAATGCATAGCCTTTAAACCAGGGTGCAGATGAGTTTGATGAGTCCACTCGATGATTAAATCGGTCAAACGATGAGTTTTCGGTAATAGCAATGGATGTTTTACATCAAAAGACAACTTAGACTTTTGTAATCGACCTCCTACTCTCAAAAGACCATATTCATCAATAAAGGGTGCGAGTTTACGAAAAGGTTTGGGTAACAGCGAATTTTGTTGAATTTTGAGAAAAATATCCGAAAAAAACGTCAGCTTGTACATGCTTAACAATGTATCGTAACGCAGATTCCATCTCTAAATGACTGTTCAGGGAATCTGAAGAGGCAGCATTGTTTTTTCTTTGAAGTTTAGCCACGAATTTTAAGACGTAAACCATGACTTTCTGAATTTTTATCAGGGACGAAAATTTTGAAAGTAAAGTAGAGATGATATTATCCGAAATGACCGGTATCAATGATAATACAGTGGGCAATTTTTCTTCTAACATTTCCGTGGGATGGGAGGTGTGAAAATTAACCTGAGAGGGCCAACACTCGCTTGACTTTGAAAGAAAATCAGGACCCCGCCACCAGAGGGAAAATTGTAGTAGTTGTGTCGGTGTCAAACCCCGACTAGCACAATCAGCAGGGTTTTGATTAGATGGCACGTAATGCCAAGAAGAACATGGTATAAGTTCTTGTATGTGCCTTACCCGATTGGCAATAAAGGTTTTCCATTTATGCGGAGAAGAATTAATCCAGGTAAGAGCAATCGTGGAATCCGACCAAACATGAATATCGGAAAAAGAAAAGATATGCTTAAACGACTCTTTAATGAAGGCGACTAGATCCGCCAGCAATACAGCTGCCAACAGTTCCAATCTTGCAATAGATTGTGTCTTCAGAGGAGACACTCGACATTTAGCACACACAAGTACAGTCTCAAATGTGTCAGAAGTATTAAATCGGAAATATACAACGCTGGCGTATCCTAACTCTGAAGCATCGCAGAATCCATGAATCTCGACCTTAAAAGACTTATTAAAGCCGAAGTGTCGAGTAATTTGAATGTTCGCAAGGTCAGGTAACTCGATTTTAAACTGATGCCATACCTGTTGTATTTGTTCAGGTGGTTCATCATCCCAAGATACATTGGATTGCCACAACTGTTGCAGCAGACGTTTGGCCTTTAAAAGACACGGGGAGATGAAACCAAGAGGATCAAAAATACGACTGATTTCCGAAAGAATAGCCCGCTTTGTACAAGTTTTGTCAAGGGGACAGTAAGAATAAGAAAAGACGTCAGTCGACGGGTCCCATTTCAGGCCTAGCACCTTAATAACGGAAGGTTCCTCTTTGTCAAACGAACAAGATGTCATAATATCAGAACCAAAATCTTGGAGTAGACTGGGATGGTTGCTGGCCCATTTGCCTAGCTCAAAACCACCAAGCTTTAAAAGTTGAATGAGCTCTAACTGTAGAGAGCGGGTAGATGACAGAGAATCACTTCCTAATAGACCATCGTCAATATAAAAATGTCGCATTAAAGCTTGTGAAGCATTAGGGAAACGAAACTCTGCCGACTCAGCTAACTCTTGTAAAGTTTTTAATGCGTATATTTTTCACATATACCCATAATAAGAAGTCTAATGGCGTCAAATCAGGAGGTCGTGCTGACTATTCCATCGATCCTTGCCTCCCTATCCAGTGATTTGGAAATATTCGGTTAAGGTACTGCCGAACATTGATTTGGTGGTACTCCATATTACTGAAAGTATATCATATTCGCTTAAACTTGTGGGTATATTGGATCAACATATAAGTTTT